AGACATATATGTACTACATTAAATACCATGCTCCAGCTGTAGCCTCCCACAAGATAAATGCTGTCATCCAAAACGGCACAGCCTGGACCGCTGCGACCCTCCAGGATGGGTGTCTGGAGGATATTCCACTGGTCAGCTTTTGGGTCGTAACACTCAACCAACATTACATCTAGATGGGAGAAACCTACATGACAGAGATAAGATAAGATAAGATAAGATAAGATAAGATAAGATAAGATACCCTGTCATCGTAGGTTTAGGTTACAGTAGAGGTAAGGTGAAAAAGGTGTGCAGATGTTAGAAATAAAAGGCAAGTGTTTATTTTTCCCAAAAGTTAAACAAAATCTAAAAGGAACAGAAACCCAAAGAATAGCACAAATCCACAGTGACACAGAGGGCAGGACACGTGGTGAACATGGGAGCATAACTTATTCCACGCCCTTAAGGACTTTCTATCTATCACACAGAATCACAATCCAATGGATTCATCAGGTGCAAGTGTCTTGCCCAAAGACACTCTGGCACGCAGACTGCAGGAGCCGGAGATTAAACAACCAACCATTTGATTAAAAGACAACCCACTCCACCTCCTGAGCCACAATCACCCCGATCCAACTAGCAATCCAACAAAGAAAGAAAACAATATATCAAAGAAATACAGGAAATAACCCAAAAGACAAATAACTAACGCCAACACAAGAAGACTCACACTGAATGTGATAACAGAGGCAGAGGAACACAGAAGGCACTCAACACAAGACAGCAGGAAGCAAAGACAGGCAGCTACGGTGGCCGCTTTAGGACAAACATGTTTTAGACAGGAGAGATCAAAAACATTAAATTTAGACTATACCCCATAACAGCTGTGGCTGGCCACCATGTTTGTATTACCAGTTTTGCACACACTATATTTTAATATATTTTAATAACATCAATACTTACATTAAATGTTTTGGGATATTTTAGTTACCATTCACCCAGCTAGCAAAGTAATTCTTTTAGCTATCTGGGTAGGCTATCAGTCTGATATTAACCTTGACTGTAAAGCTTTGTGAAAGGAGTCCGATACAAGCCGATGAGTCAGTGAAGCTCACTTTTGACCGAAGACAGTGATTGTGAGGTGAGCTGCTGAGGATATCCTGGACTGCTCTTGTCAGTAAGTTCTGTTTTTTGCCGCTATTAGCTGCCATTAGCCTCTGTTACCCACTGTTAGCAGCTGTCAAGTGAAATTGTCTTTGAAATTTGTGTAACATTGCTCTACACTTAGCGGATTCAGTTGAATTAAACTGAATTTTAAGTTTTAGAATCGCATGTCTAATCTGTAGGCAGTAAATAATTGCCACAATATCAGGAATAAATGCATTCAAGATGGCGAAGCAACATGGCGGATTCCACAAACTGGTGCTGGCTCCTGTGTACTTCAAAGAGATTATTTTCTAAGTTTCTTAAAATGCATGAGTTTGTTGTATTAATTAATTACTAATCTATCTAATTGGTGTGTAATAATAATGTTGTACTCATAATCTAATTTATGAGTATACCATTATTTTTTTATTAAATGAACTAAAAAAACTCAGTACCCTTAACAATAGCATAAAACCTGAACTCACCATCACATCACAAAAAGAAAACTAGACCGAAAACACTAAAGTCAAACATTCCTGTGGACCAATCAGGTTTCAGACAGTTTTGGTTTCATGTGCTTGCGCTACAGTACCACTGTAAATGAAATCCACACAAACCACCACGTGAATGCACTGACACAAGGCTGGTTAACAACATGACGGCAGATGTGTGCCATATTGAAACGACCCCATTGTGCTCTTACAGGAATCACCGCTGAAAAAATATTATTTCACTAAAAAGATATGAATTTTAAAGAAAAAAAGAGCACGCTCTATATCCTACGAAATGAGAGAAATCTTTTCTTATTTTTTCCTGCTGGGGAGGTGGTCCAGTGTAACTCCTTTCCTCCTTTTTCTTGAAACTATTCATTCAGTCCATTCATTCTATCCTTCACTTAGCCTATCCCAGCTGACCCCCCAAAAAAATGAATGACTCCTAAAGCCTGTCAATACAACAGTGAGCATAACTAAGGCAAACAGAACTATAATAATCTTTTAAAAAAAAACGTTAATATAGTTAAAGTTTTGATTTAAAGCGACGCCTTGACAAAAAGCTAATTTTATTACAGTCCCTCACTATGTGGCACTATATGGCATTACGTTCTTTCCTTTACTAAAGGATGGTTCAGTTTATCCTGTGCTAAAGGAAGCTTTGAAGCATTTATATTTAGTATTTAAAGAATTTGCGCAATTTGATATTTGACCACAGCCGTTCTCTTTCTCAACATAATGCTTTAGGCGTTAGGCTTTATTTTGCTTCTCATGGTTTGAATCTTTATTCTGTTCTCGCCAGTGTGTCCAGTATGTTCCTTGTGTCCAGTTGATGGGTTTCCCCTTTAGTTAAACTCTTGCAGACATGTTACTTTTTTTTTGTCTATTTGCTGATAGAGACACATTTTTGTTGTTCTTCCATCTGCCGCATTCGGTTCCACCTCCCTCACAGTTTCACTACATCTCAAGGTTTCTTCATTCACCACCAACTCACAAACACAAACCAGCAAGACAGCCATCGGTGTGCACAGATTCGCTCCTACGGTGAGCGTGAGGAAACACGAGTTTGGATATGGACACAGTCATACTCAGAGGCACGTGCAGGTTTTTTATGAGCTGAATTTGCAGCAATGAAGAGCCAACTGAACACATCTGTTTAACAGTGTTTTAACGAAAGAGCGTAGCTAAAGAGAGGATTCAAAGAGAGACAAGCTGAGCTTGTCATAATTCCCATGACCACATTCAGTTTTCCTGAACAAATGCAAATGAACAGCACACGTTTTTGTTCTTTTTCACATTTTGTACTATGAATACTAAAGAGTGCGAGAAATGGAGGCTACAGTGTTGCACAGGCTAATTAAGGTCACTGCCTGCTCACAATGGCAACATGATTTTCACACGTACTTTTCAAAAAAGTATCAAACTTGACCTGCTTTCTGTTCGTTGTCTGAAAAGCTCGAGTGCTTACCTTTCAAATGGTTTCCACCAATAGCATACAGGCGGTCATTCATCCCAGCCAGAGCATGAATGGCACGCTTTGTGTTCATATCTTGTTTCCTCGCCCACACATCCATTATAGGGTCGTAGCAGTAAAGCCAGGAGACATACTCGCCATTGTGCACGCCTCCTGCAACAGGTAAACACAGCAGTGTGTCATTAATACTCTGTGGAGCTACAGCACGCGGCACGTGGACATACTGGATCCAAATGTAGTACTATCCCCAGATATACAGTAAATAACTGGAAAAGAAAAACGTTTTTGGCTCTTCAAGAAAACTTTGGTTAGAGTCAGTTTGTAAAAGAGGAGGGTTTCACTTCCGGATTTTCCTGCAGGGAGGTGATGAGTGGTTCACTGACGTATCACTAAAATCTAATATATGACTTTCTGGTGTCAGCAAGTAGAAGAATTATACAAACCAAAGTTATATTGAAATATATCTAATAAAAAGCATTACAAATTTGAACTATTTCTGTGGCCATTTCTTTGAAGAAGAACTGATGTATACATTCAAGCCTCTTTACAGGGCTTCAGAAACTCTGCTACTTACATGAACATATCTCTTGAGGGAGTCTGAGGTAATATTGGATGGTAATCTGGGGCTGTGCTGTTACTAAGAAGAGGTTCACTCACTCTTTCTCTCTCTCTTTTTTAAACTCAAGTCTACTTTAGCCGCTATAAGCTCACCTCAAGCTCCAACTGAACTGCTGGCAGTTTTGACAAAGATGAACAATCAGTCCTGATGCATTGATTTTAATCATTTTTGTGGAGTGGAGTTGGTTTTTCTTTGTGGTGTAATTAAATGGATGTGTTTACCTCTATGTGCCATAAACACAATGTGTCTTTTTGTACAGTTCCCTCCATGTAGCGCCCCTTTTTGCATAATAATAAGGCATAATAATAATAATAATACATGCGACTCGTGTACAGCTCCTGTAACTGACCTGATATGTAGATCTTGCCATTGTGCACCGCTCCTGCATGGGCAGCCAGAGGCTGTGGCAGAGACGACACGTAGTTCCACTCATTTGTCTCCAGGTTGTAGGATTCCACGCTGGAGAGGTAGCCCGCCTCGTTCCTGCCACCAATCACGTACAGGTGCTTATCCAGGCGACAGGCAAAGAAGCTGGCTCTCCTGAGGAGGACGCATTAACCAGACAACATCATTAAACCTATGATGAGAATCACTACTGTTGTTTTTTGGTTTTTTCCAGCTTCTGTCTAAGGTGCAAATCATTCTTAAAAAAACAAAAAAAACATCATAAGACGAGAGATAAGTTAAGCATGTACAAGCTTCTAGGCTGTGAGCATCTGTTTTCATGCCTGTGTAATGGGCTTGCTCACTTCTGCATGATGTAATATCTTGTAAAAGGATTTTGAACCAAAAAAACAGCACATAGGTCTGTTCACAGCCCAATGAGCATTACTTTATTCTTCTGTTGGCTGGTTTTGTACACCTAGGTAAGAGTAGTAGCATTTTTTTTTTAATCTTATGTGGATGTTTATATTTTTAGGTTTTCTAAACACCATTTCCCAAGAGAACTACACATCTGCTATCACAGCTGAACAGAAGACTTGTGAAGTTGTTGGATCTCACAAATTACAACTAGAATCCAAGTAGCATCTTCATGAATGCCAAAACTTGTGAACTTCACTAAGGTCATAAAGGTTTCCGTTTCTTATTAGGTGATGCAATGAGTGGTGAGATTCTAAGAAATATACAAAACACGGTAATGAGAGACGGATGAGAGAAAATGGGTTACTGAAGCTGAGTAAACAGAAGCTAGTACTGATGTCAACATTTCTGAGAGGACAAAAAAAAAGGCTCACCTCTCCTGCATTGGAGGCAACTGTATCCAACTGTTGAATCTGGGATCGTAGCGGCTGACAAAATTAGTGCTGTGCTTTCCTGCAAAACAGAACAGTAGAATACAAATAACTTAGCTCAAAATAAAGCTTCTTTTTGTACAGTTTAGACATGCTAATGTAATGATCAGTTCTTATTGGCCACATCTTTTCTAATGGTGTTTGTTGTGTACCAATAAAATTCACAAATGCAACTCTCCCCAGTCTTCATTAATCACCGCCCACACGTGATGATTTGCCTTTTTGCTGCTGTTTGAGCTAACAAGAGCTGACTGAAGTCATGTTTTCTAAGCACAGAGAGATCACCTCTTGGTAATGTTGTATTCAAAAGACTGCAAATCATCTCTCATGATGTGCATTTGTAGTAAGCTGATTCCTACTCTCAAAACTGAATAAACAACTAATTTCACTAAGTGCAGTGTACATCTGCCTGGCTGTTGTATTACTGTGATAGCTGGTGAAAGAACAAAAAGGCAGAGTAAGAATCTTTGATCATTTACAGTCTTTGTTTCTTACTATGGCACTGTGTTGCCACCTTTTTGCAAAAAGCCCTCTTAACACTTCTACATTGCAAATATTTCATCATAAACAACAGTAATTTTTCTGTGCCAATTATTGACAAGTGTTGATTGGAGTGTTGTTTGTCCACTCAGAGCTGATCTGGCTGCAGGATGAGTGTTTCAAACCATCTGAAAGTGTTACATTAACTTGATGGGCTTGAACTTACATAAACTCCAGTTTAAGTGAACATGAAAAATTTGCTGCGTGAAATCAGTGGAAAGCAGCGACTATACCATTGGGGTTCCACTGGTCCTCTCCGCCTAGCAGCAGCAGGAAGTTCTCCACCTCCACCACGCAGTGATGTGCGCTGTTGTAAGGCATTACTAGGTGACAGACAAAAAGTCAAAAAGTCAGTTTTAAAAACATGTGGAGAGAAATTTGTATATAAACAGTACCCTGTGAGTGTGCCCTGGCTGTTATAGGTGTACTGTGCTGGTGGTTTCAAAAATCCACTGTGGTTAGCAATTACTTTGTATCATTAAATATGAGAATTAAAAACAGGCCAGTACTTTTCTGTTCAGGACACATTGCAGTCTAGAAAGCACTAACCATAAGTCTCACATTTAATAAAACTGTCAGGTCATTTAAAATAAGAACCATGTAACAGTAAAAGTTATGCCATTGAACCACGAACAAAAAAAGCCACTCTTTGTAGCATCTGGATAACTTTTTAACCTCTTTTGTCTCAAAATCATATAGAAAATAGATTGACGTGCAACTTTTGTTTTTTAATCAGAATCAACACAGCCATCAATTGACTGGCGACCTGTTCAAGCTGTACACCGCTTCTTGAACAGGAACAGCTGGGATAGGCTCCAGCCCAAACACAACCCTCAATTTGATCAACACATCTGGTGTAACTCTGTTTGCGCTCTTATACTCAAAGGGGGAAAGTAAATGGCATCTACACTCTCCTTAAATAAATTCAATTAATTCTTAAATGTTTCCACCACACCCACAGGTCAAGCCTTACTACCAATTACTGTCCGAGACACTGACCAAAGAGGTTTATTGAACATCTAAGAAGTATTATATTAACTTTTGAATAGGAAATAATGAAAGTGCTAAATGTTCTGTAATTTGACAGGAGTGGTCAGAGTAAATTTCACACAGACTGTTTGTTCTTTGTTTGGAGCAAGATACAAAAAACACAAACAGAAGTTTAAAAAAAAGTCTGGATGGAGAGCTGGTGAGCAAAGAAAGTTGCACTGGATTACTTTCTATAAACTTGCGATTACAGACAGACTAATATATGATTTTACGATTACGATACCAATACTGATATTTAGTGATTTTAAAAATCCAATATACTGATATATTGACCGGCATTTTTTTTCAGACATATGAAACCTAAACAGATTTCCCTAACATATTTTTTAGTGTGGGTCTTTATTTACTCTATCATGCTTTGCCCAACTGTCTTCAGATCAGCTAGTTGTTGTGTTTCTCACTTTCCAAACAGGTGTTGCCCACAGGATGTTTCTCCCTTCTCTTCTTTACCTTTTTCTATAATTTCCATTTATTGGCCATTATAAATGCAACTATTAGGAGAACTGCCAATAGTTAATACTGGTGGATAATACTGACCTGCTCATAAATCAGTCAGGCTTCAGTTGCAGTATAATGCACCGGTTGTGGCGGAGAATGTGCTCTTGCTATTTTCTCTTCACATGAGGCAAAATGTTAAATTATATCATAAA